AAATTAATGGGGATTTGTTTTGCAAACCAGCGGGTTTGGGGAGAAATCAGAGATTTTTTAGGGGAAATTAGTGGGATTTTGGGGAAATCAATAGATTTTGTGAGGAAATTAGCAGATTTTTGGGGAAAATTCATGCTTTTTAGGGGAAATTAGCGGGGGTTGGGGCCTGGCCCCGGAGCTGCGTGGTACTGCGGGGTTTGGGGCCTGGCCCCGGAGGTTTCAAGGCAGCCACTCCTCAGCAGCGGTGTGGAGGTAATGTCTGGTCCTGGTCAGCGTTGGGAACTGCGTTGAGGATGTGAAATTCAAGGTTTTGCGTTTCAGAGGTGGTAGGATGGCGTTTAGTAAGTTGTTGTTTACGTGCGGGCTGTAGAAAATGTGCTCAACAATGCTTGCCTGGTCTGTGTAACTGTAGTTTTCAGGAATGCGTTTGTTCAGGCTACAGAGTCCGTTGGAGCTCGCGGGTCTTGGCTGGGCTTGGGCATTGTTTTGGCGAAGCCAGTCAGAAGCTTCTAATTAGGCAACTTGGTTTTAGCGCTGATTAGTTTAATATTTCTTTATTACTTTTAGGTTGTTACTGTTTCAGTGCTGAATGTAGAGTTGAATCTGGCAGTCTGTTGTTGCTTAGTTACTCAAAATCAACTTAAAGCTAATAATTATTGCAGTGCATCTTTTTTCAATCGGAAGGCAATTTTAAGGCTGAATACAGCTGTGATGCGCATCTGTTTGATGAAGAAGACGTTGCTTTTGCATAGTCACTTTGCAAAATTAGCTGGATTGAAAAGTAAGTATCTTTATTGTCTGTTTGTAAGATAGTATTGAGTAGTCCCATAGCATTTTAATGTTTTGGATGGGTTTGTTTTTTCTTATTGTGTAACTGTGTAAAGGTACATAGATTATAGCACTGGAATAAAACTCGTATCCTTTTTTTAAGGTAAGAAAAAATATGACAGAAAAAGCAAGTGCAGATGATTTTCAAGATCGGGATTTTCTCAAGAAGAAGAAGAGGAGGAGAAAACACAAAGAACACAATAAGAAACATGAAAATGATGAAAATATACAAAATGCAGAGCTTGGCCGTGCTTCTCCCCTGCTGTTTGAAGATCGAGCAGCACAGAGTGGTGAAGGCTGTAAAAAGAAGAAAAAAACAAAAAACAAGGGGGAGAAGCAACAGTCTTCGTTAGAGAATTCTTGTGTAGGAGTGGAACGTGAAATTAGTAATGAAACTGGAGTAGATGCTTCCCAAAAGAAAAAGAAAAAAAAGAAGCGGAAGCGTAACGATAGTGCGGATGATCGCAGTGATGTAACTTTTGTCACAGTAAATCAGCATAGCACTGATGATTGTCAGGAGATCAATGCTGATTACATTTATTTAAAACAATCTGTTAAGAAGAAAAGAAAACTAAAATTACCTGAAGAGGATGAGACACGTGAACTGCCTGTCCCAGAAACACACAAAAAAAATGACAATAAAAAATTCAAAAAGAAGAGGAAAAAGCAAAGAGGCAGTAGTACCCCAGATGTGCAAGAAGACACAGATATAACCGTTGACCAGTCGCTGTTGTCATCTCCAGAGCAAAACAGGCGAGGGGAAGACACAGCGTTGCCGTCACCTATAGAAGGGGGTGGTGTGGTAACACACCGGCGATGGCGTGAAGATGGTGACTGTGATGCTTCTGCTGACATGAGTGAAGAGTCTATGGACGTACCTGCTAATTTTTCTAAGCCAGCTAAAGCGGCGGATCGGTCTCCTAAAAAACCTCCAGTGCATGCCAGAAAGAAAACAAAAAGCTGTGCTTTTGTCACAGAAGAAAGCTCTTCAGAATCTGATGTAATGTAAGTTTAGGGTTTCCCCCCACCCTCAAGTATGTTTCTGTCACTTTATTTGGTTCCCAGATTTTTCTCAGTCTGTACTGTATGTATTTTAAAAAACAAAAAACCTTGATGGTGTGTTGAGATGTTATGGAGACCTACTTTAGGAGCTTAGTTATCAATACAGTAAAATTTGTACGAATACACTACTATTGCCTGCAATGTAGAATATTTTGTCCTATTTAAAAACTGTAGATATAGAAATAATTTATGTGCAAGTAATCTAAATTTAGTAAAAAAAAAAAAAGGGACAAGAAAGGGATTCCATTTGTTAAATTTGGTGTTTATATTGAACATATGCATTTTTGCCAAGCAACTAGTAAGGTCAGCTAGAGAATTTAATGTTCTGTGAAAACAAATGCTCATGTAAGTATAGAACCCACAATAAGAGCAGTAGTAAGAGACTCTGTTGCCAGGGAGAGTGAGAGGCACTATTTCTTCTGTGTGTCCATGTGTGAGAGTTTTGTGGGAAAGATGTGGCTTTTCAAAATTTCAGCAAGCTTATTGAATATTGTAAGTATAGAAATTTGGTAATAAATTACATCTCTGTTAAAAAGTTGGAAATAAAAGGGGGTAGATGTGTGAAATATTCCTTGTTTTTTAATTAATGAACATGTTCATTCTTTTAATGGTAGCGATACTAAAAAAATCGCTGTTTTGGAGCTCTAGTGGTGTATTTTATTTTATTACTCTTTTTTTTTATATATATATATATATATATCAGGAGTCCAGAGCCTGTGGCATCAGGTAGAAAGAAGGACCAGAATAGTTTCTTTACTGAAATGGCAGCCTCTGATGAGCTTAGTCTGGATGATGAAGAGTGCCTGGGCTCTATGGTGTGTTCAGTCGTGGATTTGGATACTGCAAAACAAGAATTGGAAGAGTTTATTCCTCATGTGAGGAGCATATCGGACAGTTCAATCAGGAAGATGGCTGGAAGAGACTTAATGAGGTTTAAACAGTTTAAAAAGCAAGGTGAGCTCTCAAAATATTGTTGCAGTGAGGGAGCACTGTGCAGCTGTGATAATGATTTGACAGAGCGAAAATAATTTGGTTTTGTATCATGTCTGTCACATCCATGGAGTCTGGTTCACTTCATTCCAACGGATATATTTTCTGTTTCTCTGCTTCGTAGCATCTACTTCCTCATTGTCAAGTTACAGGCCAAAGCGTGTGCGTAAATCACCTGCTCCCAGCTCTTGTTTTGTCTCTCTTCAGTTTTCTTTTTTCACCTTTTGAATTTGTGGATCTTCTGTTATACGTTTGCCAAAACCTGAAATGTAATGTGCAAGAGATGATACTTGAAGTTTGCTATGTGTGTGTTTGTTCGTTTTGTTTGGGTTTTTTTTAATAAAGTTTTCTATGTATTTTAGGTATTGCTGTCAAGTTTGGCAGATTTTCCCAGAAGGAAAATAATCAAATCCGTAAAAATATTGAAGAGTTCTTAGTAACTACTGGAATAGACAATGCTGAAAAACTGCTGTTCACCTCGAGGTATCCAGAAGATAAAGAAACTATCAACCGCCTAAAAGCAGAACATCTTTTTTGTGAAAGACTTTGTAAGGATTTTAAGTTACTTCTCAAATAGCTGAATGTTATGTTCCACAACCTGGTGATATCATGATGTATTTTATAAAATGTTTTGTTATTGAAAAGCACTAGTGCTGCTAAACTTGGCAAAAAAGGAGCATGCTGCTGAGAGTATGTAGTTGGTAATCTGTACAGTATGCTGTTCTTACTATCGTTTCTCAGGTATGAAGAGTTTAGAGATTAACATATCATCATGACCAGCAGCACTTACAGACTTTCAAACTTGCATTTGGGCTTTATAGCTGAAGGCTAGGCTTTAATTAAGCATAGTGATTTATTAATGAGAGATGTAATTAAGTCCTATCTGAAATTGCCAACTGTTCTTAGAGCATAGAAATAGGTGGCAGGTTCAGGACTGAGCGAGAGCACATAAATAGGTAGCAGGCTTTAGGTGGAGTGACAGCAGAAACAAATTAGGTCATTAGCCAAAGTAGTTTTGCAAGACACGAGGAAAACAAAATTCTCATGGCTAAGATTCTGCTCGCAGGAGGAGGAGCATCTCTTCTCTACCTCTTTCCGTATTTTGTTAGGCTTCTCTTGGCTAGAAAACATTCACAGTTCATATGGCAGACATGCTCATATTGTAACATCTGTGATGAATCTTTTCAGTGTGCTTTCTCAGTGGCTTTCTGTTCTGTGTTTGTTCTGTATCGTTAGCATAGCCAAGACAGAGTCGGTGACAACCTGTAATGGATTTGGATACTAGCATTTATTTAAGGATCAGTGAGGCTACAGATTTGTTCCTCCTTGGTTGTTTCACACACAGAATCGTTCCCTCTGCATCATCAATTTTGCTTGGTGTTGACTTCCCATCTGGGAGATTGCTCCTGGTCTGGGAAAACTGGGGAGAAAGTCACGTCAATGTTACAGGAGTTGCATGCAGTTACTTGTCCTGGGCACTGCTGACCAAGACTGTTGTGTGTTGCCAGGTATTGGTCTCTGTGGATCTACCCCCACTTCAAGGATTTTTCCTTTAGCCAAGACCTTCACTGTCTTTGTGCTGGATGCCCCCAGTCATTGGTTTTCCCCGTCAAACTAGTGTGTATGCAGAAGCACAATATCTCATCAGCCTACTAAGTGGTGGCTGTTTTACGTCTCTCTATTAATGGGAATATTCAGTATGTTGCTTATATTTGATCTAGATGTTATCAAAATTTACAGCCAGTCCATACAGTTTGTAGCTAGTGAGTAACGAGTTTGTGCCTGAGAGTTCAAAAGTTTGATTTTTCGATACTCACCCACACGTATGCACACGCGTACACAATTATGTACCAGCTGCTGGTATTCACAATTTACCATGGTCAGAGCAATTGCATCTTTGAAACTCTTGGGGAGATTGTTCGGACTATTTCCTGTGGAGTTACTGAAGTGTTGTAGAGTACATTCTCTTGAATGGGGCATATCTATCATTTGCTGCACGGCCATGAAAACGTATGTTGTTTGGGTTTGGTTTGGTTTTGTTTTGGCTTTTTTTTAAGTGACCTCACTAGTGTGAAAAATGTTTCTTAAAAAGGAATCATTTGCTTTCTAGCTAAGGGCATACCGCGACCCTGGAGACTGATATATTATCGAGCAAGGAAGATGTTTGACTCAAATAATTATAAAGGAAGGTAAGTAAGTAATTTGAAAGAGTTTCTGAGTGCTAGTATCAGTCTCTGATGTTTGTTTGTACATTAAAAAAGAATATAAATGAAGATCATCTCTCCCATTTGTGCCAGTTACTGTGACTTAACTGACAGTTCATTTTTCTGACTGGCCCTTATCAAGTCCTCTGTTCTAAAACATGACTTGAAATGGTGTAGTGATGAGTAACATTGAAATGCCTGTAAAGATTATAGCTCTCTTGAGTTATTGGAATTGCTTGAATTTGCAGCTGAAGCTGTGCCCGTTTCCTCAACTAGGTATACTGAGGAAGAAAAGGAAAAATTAAAGAAGTATCATGCTCTGCATGGCAATGATTGGAAGAAGATTTCTGAGATTATGTCCCGTTCTAACCTCTCAGTTGCTATGAAATATTCTGAAATCAAGTCGGGTATGTAATTTTAAGGAAAATAATTCATGCTCTGTATTTCAGTTTGAGAAATTATGTTAACTGTATGTTGTACGTGCCCTAAACTTCAGGAAAAAATCCTTAGAGTGAATTTTTTTTTTTAACTAATTTGTGGTGGTGGTTCTTTTTTCCAGACCACTGATTGCATTTTCATGTGGAAGGGATAAGAACAGTCTCTGATAGAAAAGGGAAAGGAAGTGGAATAAATGCAACTCCTTATTAAACAGAACTGGCATCTAAGTAGACGCTTTCAGAGGGAGGGTGGGAGGAATTTGGCAAGCAGGTTTCAAAATATAGAAACTAGAGATTTTAGTGCTATTCTTTAGTGATTAGGCTGAACTCCTCTCTCAAATCTGGTATGAAACAGAGTTTCTGGGAAGCGTGTTAAGAAGCTGGTCCTGTAAATAAGAATAATGCGAAGCATTTGCTCTCTTTCCTTTTTTTCTAATAATTTATTATAAACTATGCCTTAACCTTCTTTTTCAATTTTAGCTATTAATTACGGTTCTTGGTCGAAGGAAGAGATTCAGAAGTTAATGCATGCAGTGGAGGAGGTGATTAGGAAGAGAATAGAAATGGAAGATACAGATTCATTATTGGAAAAGTCGTACGGAGATCTCTTGATTGACCGTGAGAAACTGTACCAGAAATTACCATGGACTGAGATTGAAGCTAAAGTGGGAACTCGACATTGGAGACAATGTAAACAGAAATGGTAAGGTTTTATGCTAAAGTGAGATAGTAAAACGTGTTCTGGGGAGAACTTTACTCCATTGTGCAAAACTGTTTGTACCATGATGATTGTTTGGTAAGATGGGTAATAAATAGTTTGTAGACTACAGAAAAGGTGTTGCAAGTGTGTCTGAGACAAATAACTCTTTGCTAGCTGTGGTAAGTTTTCTTCTTGCTGTGAGAATGAAACCTAATTTGTGTTTCTCTGTGGCAGCAGTAGCATCTTGAAGGCATTTACTTTTAAGGCTTGGAATTTCTTGAAATGATGGAAGCCTTTTTTTGTGTGTTTTCAAAGGATTACAATTTTAACAAACAAGATGACCAAAGGGCAGCAGTTATACAGGGGGACCAAAGGATTGCAGGCCAAGATCAGTCTTATTAAAAGGTATAGTTCAGAGCCCCTGGAATGTTTTTGTATCTCTTACTGTTCCGAGTTGTGTTCGTAAAAGCTTGGTGAGTGAGAATGGCATGCCTGAAGTTTCATACAGGTTTTGCAACCACTCTTTCGTGGGACAAAGTGTCCTGTCGCTTCTGGCTAGGGGAGCTGTGAGCATTATTGAATTATTTCTTGAATTCTGCCTACAAACTGCTTCTGTATTATATTCGCAGGTTGTATGAAATGAAAGTGGAGGATGCTAGTGAAATAAACTGGGAAGAACTCAGTAATGCTATTGGGTAAACCTTTTTTCCCTCTTTGTATGGTTACAAAGGATTGTTGAAGCAGTCTTAAAAATTCCAGAAAGGATTCAAAGTTCTTAGGCTTCTGCAACTATAGACAGTGTCATTTAGTTTGGTGACATGCAGTTGTATATCCTTGCATAGCACTGAGCAACAAACCATGCCTATGAGCTCTGAAACTTAATTTTAACCACTTCAGGCAACCCTTATTGTATTCCCAGCGCATTCTGTGTACTAAGGCTGTGTTATACAGTTGGTGCTAAAGTCTTTGATAAAAGACTTTTCCAGGTGTTAATCAACACATAGGAAGAAAGGATGATTATAGGAATGTGTAATATAATATAACAGTCTTCTTCCAAACAAGCAAAGTGTTGAATATGAAATTACCAATACCGTGAACACTATACTTCCTCTAAAGGGCTTTTCTTTTGTTTTTCCATGTACTTTTGGTTTCATTTACTGTTTCTTTTCACTAAACACGTAATACGTAGGTATAATGGCATGGTTTAGATTCTTATCTTCAAGGGGAACTGCTGTCTTGAAAAAATGTTTTGATCAGGGTTTGAAATCCATCCTTTCTACCTAAAGCAAAGATACTATTTGACTGGCATTGTTCTCATGAATGGATAACTTGGCAACAGCTAAACTTTGTAACAGTTCATTGCACCTCTAATTCTTTGAACTTTTCTCTTTTCAGAGATGTCCCTATAACCTATGTTCAATCAAAATTTTATAAGCTAAAAGTCTCCTGTGTCCCTTTTTGGCAAAAAAAGACTTTTTCTGGTCAGTATCCCAGCTGTTTCTCTATACTGCTTAAGGTTTTTGCTTGAATCTAAGAGGATGCATATTCTAGTTCAATGCTTTCTTAGTTAGCTTTCCCCTAAGTAAATTGGCTAAAATAATGGGCTTTATACTTACTTTACTAAATGCTTTTTTTTAGTAAGAGTTTACTTTCAGTGGCATCTTCATGGAGTGTTTATTAACCTCTTATCTTTAATACCTTGGCTTTAAACATTTTATGACTGTGCTTTTTTAGTTTATCTTTGCATGTATGTGTGGGTCTGATCTACCCTGCAGCCACTGTGATTACTATGGAATAGTGAGATTTTTTTGCATTTAACAGACAAAATAATTTCTGTCTGTGAGATCCTGTTTCCTCTAGGTATCCAGTTCCCCTGTAGATCCAATTAAGACTACTTTTTGTTCTCTGTTTTTTTTTCAAAGAAATTGTTGATTATCTTTTTGAAGAGAAGCTTCCAGAACTTGAAGAAAAGTTAGAAAAAAGGAAGGGGAGACAGCGTAGTTCTGGCAGTTCAACATCCGGGCAACAGAAGAAGACTTTCCGACTCAGTGACATTTTTGACTCCAGTGACGACAGTGATTAATTGACGGCCTTAAAAACAATTCCTAGTCTGCATAACTAACTGAAAAATGGATCTGGTTGAAAGTGGGTGCAGATCAACAACTGCAGGTACACAGGCTATCTAATAACGGAAAAAGTAAAGATAAAGATACGTGCGTCTGATTTTGTTTCATACCGAAGACTGAGGTAAATACAGTTTTTGTGCCACCTTTTGTTACCTTAATTTAGCTTTGGTTTTTGAATTATTTTTTTTAAGCATCCAAGTTGTTTTCTGAATGTCTCAAAACCAGTATTTTTTCCGTTGCTTTGTTTTCTGTGGAGTTAGAAGCTGCCATTTAGCCTTTATGCATGAACTTGGTTTTTAGAACTTCTGATTAATTTTAAATAACCAAAAAAAAAATAACTTCATGGAATTGAGAAGAGGCCTTCAGTTTGCTTTTAAATCTCTATAATAAACAAATCTTGTGAGTCGTTTGGGTTTTTTTAACAGATACCTTGTTCTTAAAAGCAACCGATTTTTATTTTTGATGTAGGCTTATACTTTTATCAACCCTTCTAGAGAAAAGGTATATTTATACATTACTATTCATAAATTGTAATGTCATTTCATGCTAACCAGAACAATGCATTTAAAATGTTTTTGTTGTGTATACAAAAGTATATATACTTTTATTGTACCAAGGAGAATTTCTGCATTTTGGTAAGAAGATTGAAGGATAAGATGGAGATTGTACTCATGTCTTTGTATGGTATCTTTAACCATGTGCTTAGAGGGATTATTTGTAAATTGACGGAGTGAATGTAAAAAACAAAACAAAACCACCTAAAAACTTACCAGGTGTATAAAGTATTTGTATGGATTGTTTATGTTTCCTATATGCTGTATTAGAAAGTAGTGCAAGAAGACTTGGTCTCTGACATACTACTTTTTGATGGTCATTTTGATAAGTGAGAATTTCCTTCTTTAATTTTAATACTTGTTATGGAAAATGCAGAATTTTCAACAGCTTGAAATAAAGGCCTTGTTGGAGGTTCTTCTGGATTGAGACTTGGGGTAAAGGATGTTAAATGAGAACTTTCTGTATTTAACTGTGTCTGGCTTTAGCCTCTCAGAAGATAGAAAACAACGTGGTGTAGTGGGACAGGCAGGACACCCCCTGAGATCAGCCACCTGTGTTAAGGGTGAGTTTTCCAGCCATGAGACGAAATGGGAGGGGGGAAAAACATGTGCCAGCTCCCTTGCACTTAGGTCTTTGATATGCTTCTGTTGCCTTAGGGGTTTGAAGGTTAAAAGCTGAAGAACTTGAATTTTTGAATCTAAACGGTTTGTGTTTGTCAATTTTTTTTTTTACTGGAAGATGGAGATCCCCTGAATTTTCTGCAGGCTAGAGTACAAATAGTGGTGTGGTTGGAGAGTTTGTAGAGTAGATCTCACAAATAAACTTCTGTCTCCATAATGAGATTTATTTTATCTTTTGCTTTAAAGGGAAACTTCTGAAGGAAGACTTTTGCTAATACATTATTTTGCAGAGAAACTGCTTTTAACAAGCGAGTAAGCCGGGGCGGGAACTATAAACCTGACCTCTGCTGCACAGGAAAAAAGGGAGATGCTGTCCAGGAGAAGGGAGTAGGGAAACAATTCCTGAGCGGCATCTCCTTGGGTAATGTGTTTGTAATCTCTTTGCCCATGGACAAATGAGTGGAGGAGGAGAGTGCTTTTTGATCATTTCCCATTTGCTGAATCACGGCACTTAAGAGGGCGTAAGAAAGCAGCTTTTCCCTTTGCCCATGTCTTACACAGGCGTATGGGAGCGTGAGCAGGGGGGACAGTTGTTTCAGGTAGATATTTAGATATTGTTGAAAAGAGACCAAACTCTGTGCAGGGGTTTAAAAAAACCAAACAGGCACCACAGACTGATGAGGGAAATAACATTGACAAAGCTTTGTGTATCGGGCTGCATTATAAATAAGAGCACGACAGATCCTTCAAGTCTAAAAAGCACTGTGAGCCCCTAAAAACTTTGGTAATTCAAGCAGAGATGTCGCTTCAAGCATTTTTCCTGGCGTGTTAATGGCCTGAATGGTGGTGTAGAAGAAACTTCTCAGCTGTGTGGCGTTATCAAAGGCGGAGACAGCCGGGTTAGGAGAGTTTTGTTTGCAGCAGAGCAGCAAAGTGTTATAGTGGCAGCAGCTGAAGATCAAATGCTGGCTTTCCTCTTTCACCCCCCTCCATAAAGTCCTGAACAAGTGATGTGGGGGGACTGAAGAAAGGCAACTGCTCCCTGTCCCATTCCTCAGCCCCCTGGCCCGGGGCACAGCATCATCCCGGTGACCTGGAGGGTCCGTTGATGATGGGGCTGTGACAGAAACCTCCGGGGAAGCAGCTTCGTCTGGGCCCTGCAGGCAGGGCAAGAGGCGCAGGGGCTATGGAGTGGTTTCCATTGCGTGGGGGGCTGTGGGGAAGCCTCCCCTCAGTGGTGTTTACTTCAGACTGGCTGGCTTGATCGTGGATTTGGGGTGGGGTTTTATTATTTTAGTACTTCAGTAATTCCATCCTCGAGGCAGTGCCTTTAGCTGTGCTCCTCGGGGCTCTGGCACCGCTTACCCTTACGCTGCTGCGCAGCTCCTTTTTCCCCTGCGTGCCTCAGTTTCCCCTCCTTGCTGGT